CAAGGTGTCACGGTCTCGCGATGGCGTGGGCAGCGTGGGAATGCATGCTGTCGCTCGCCCGTCGCCGTCTCGTAGGTCAACCACATGCAAGGCAGACCTTTTGGACATTAAGTGGCTGCGTACACGATATGCCCAGTCTTGACTTCTGTCAGCACGTGTTGAGTCTGCCGCCGTTGATGCATAAATATGCGCCTCTCGTCACATGCAGTATCCCTCACCAATAACAACCGGCCACGATGGCCAATCAAATAAACAGCAGATGTTAACATCGGCGGACTGGATTGATAGGACTGGACTGATTGACATCCGCAGTCCCAGTTCTCGTCTGTGAGCTTTTATTTCGCGTGCTGACTCGCTGCTACGCTTCCTCGTCAAATACATGTATCCAACAAAGCACCTGCCTGATTTTTTCGCAAGTACCTGGACTGGACGAACGTGGATGTCCGTCATACTCTAGCCTCATACATGGACGACCCGAGGATTGAACACGGCGCATGTCTGTTACTGAGCTCATGCAATAAACTCTCTGCCGACTGACTTGCAGATGTACGCATCCCGGTTACGATCAAGAATATTCCGAGCCAGGTAGGGCGTTGTTTCATCGGTGAGATTTTTGAAACGGAAATGCTGGCGGTTGCGTCGTGCCAAGAAATCCTCCAGGTTATATGCAAAAAAAATGTATTACGCATTCTGTCAGCGAAATGCGCTCACATAGTTTCAACCTTTAGATGTTACGTTAACACGATGGGCTGAGTAATTTTCACTAACTGACACAGGAAAGAAGTAGAAACAATGGCAACCATCCACGAATCTTTCTATTGCCTTCGACGATGTGGCAAATAACATTTTCCCCTACCCTGTTTTCCGCACCAAATTGGATTCAGATCGTTCCTCACAGCGGACGGTAAGCTCACACGATGGAAAGAAGTAGACGCAATCACTGAAAAAAGAGTATTCGCCTGACGATTCATCTTCATGCCCTGACTCATTAAAAGAGTCACCATCAGATATGGTTCATTTATACACAGGGAACGTCGTATTTATAGGATGCAGTCACGTTGTTACCATAAATCTATGACAATTAGTGGCCCCTCCATTCATCGAAGATGATTGCCATCTGGTGCGTTAATGGGTTGTTGGTCGGCATTCGGGCCGTTACCTGCTACAATTTCCTCACGCGTGTTGGAGATTGGCGTTATGATTGCTCGGCCACCTGAATCACCACCAATGGTGTTAGAAAATATATTTGTCCCGGGTAACTCACTGCTTTGGCCAGACCAAGTCCCAGCACCGAATATAGGCTAGGGAGATCATCGTACATGACATAAGGATTGTACTCTCTCGCCAGAATTTCAGCCTCAGCACACCTGCGTGTGTGGTCTGATTTGGTCGAATGAGCCGTGTCAGTTATCCACTCTGCTGCCCCATGCTCGGCAATTCGCGTCTGCTGCAGTCTCCCGGTCTTCCCGGCGTAGTCGCTTTGCCCACAACTACACCAGATAAACCAAGGAAATCGGAATGGGCAGATAGTATTACCGACAAAGACAGGGGGGACTGGAATTGTCATTTCTGACTTATTTGCCTTCATCAGCCAGTCATACCCAGACCCAAGTGGCGTCCCATTCGAACCTCGAACTCGCGACCTCTCCTATCAGAGTCAAACGCCCTAACCATTGAGCCACGAGCTCATTGTCGTGCCGGGTTACGTCGAGGGATATTGACACTCATTGATGAACGTTCAGCCGACCGCTAACAAAACTCCTCTGCCCCGCTTTGCCTTGGGCCTTTGCCTATTCTACCAGCTGTTACGGCTGTCAGGACCTCTAATAGGGCCCAAGGCAGAGCGGGACAGATGAGTTCCGTAAGCGGTCGGGGAACGTTCATCAATGAGACCGGAATGGTCATTTATTGCTTATTCTTCGTCATTGGTCAATCACTGTGCGACTCAAACACGAAATTCCAACCTCTAGAAAGTATCTTTTTCAGCACTGTATCATGTCACCTTGGTTGGTAGCGGGCGTAATTTATTCCCACCCGTGGCAGCCAGATCCTATTTTCACCGGCGCGGCAGCTTGCACATTTCACCTCCCATCAGTCTCATGCTCCCTCTCAGCCAGTTATTTGAGCCGCGTGAGACGGGCACCAGAGTAACTGCAGCTGGTGGCCAAGCGGCGTTGCTTCCTACACTGATTGGCTGCGGGCAAAGTACCTTAACGACTGTTCCGCGCCCGCAACTG